GAAGGCTTTAAGTACCTCAGCCTTTTCCTCATCCTTTTGTCACTGTGCTTCCACCTGCATCCAATAAAGGATGGAGATTATCCTTAGCCCTCCTTTTCTTGTTAATATATCTATTGAAACATTTTTTAAATTTTATTTTATAGAAACAGATAGATACATGTCAGACATAGCTATCTACCTACCTACCTATTTATTTACTTCTTTTTCCTCTTGGAAGACTGATTTTTTTTTATCCTGACTCACTCCAGGATTTAAACCGGCCAGAAACAGATACCAGGACTTAGCAAAATAGGATTTCATCATCACAAGCTCCATTTTGTTGGAGGATGTCCTTCCTCTAGAGGGGTTCAGAGCCCCTCACAGGGCAGCAGCTGCCTCAGGGCCTGGGTGAGCCGCTCGCTGGGGCCCACGGTGCCCAGCCGCCCTTTGACGTGTGCTGCTGGGAGGCCGTTAGAGAACTGGCTCTGGAACGTAACCAGGGTGAGCATGTGCTGTTTCCCTTCTCCCCCTGCCTGAGCCGCGGTGGATGGCCGGGGAAAGCCTCACAGGCCATTCTGGGCCCCCTCGGGCCTGGCCTGCCCGCCCCGGCACAGCCCTCTGTCTCCTGCTGCACCACACATTTCAGGGAGGAAAAACGCCAGGCTTCAGTGGTTGTGTGCCCCTTTCTGTTCCTCAGCTCCTACACAGCGGGAGGAAAAGCCCGGAGATACCCATTTGTGTGCAACTTTTAGGATACCTGCTCCTGACTTGCAAATGAGCAGTATCTATTCCCAGCGTAGCGCTCATTTTAGAAGACAAGGCATAAGCTCGGCTCACTCCTTGTCATTTATCACCCTGTTTTGGGGCTGAATGAAGGCAGACACTACCCTTGTACAGCTTCAGGGCCCCGATGGGCTCTGCTCTGCTGTAGCAGATGAACCAGGCAGCCCCGCACCCCCAGCAAACCCTCCCGGCAGCAGGCTGAGGCAGGGGACAGCTGTTACAGACCCTGGCGGCATCGCCTTCTGGGGTGGTAGGGAGCAAATTCAATGTTTACATGCCTGTTTCTCAAAGGGCAGCCTTAATTCAGTCAAAGGGAGCCTGCAGTTGATTGTAGCACATGCTCTCTTGGTCTTTCCTCAGCTATTAGTGCTACTTCCCATTGTTTCTGTGTGAGCCGGCCCTCATGTGGACACATGTGGTGGATCAGATCAAAAATCTCTCCAGCCAAACACCTTATCTAATACTTAGTAGTGGACACGTAGGGAAGAAAGAGTACAAATATGGGCTATCAAGTAATTCTTCCCCTAAGGACTGCTCCTGGCACTTGGTGACGTGGCCCATGGGCTTCTGCAGCAAAAGATGGTATTATTGTAGTTAACGTCCATCCACTGAGTTTTCTCCATCATGACGTTTAAGCCCTTCTGCCACATGCTACATTTTGTGGTGGAGAACACTAGGTCTTACATGAGCAGTCTACAAAGAAGTATTTCTGGTTTTCCTGAACTGGGCCCCTACACATTTCAGGTGATGCTCTGCTACTTCTGTATTGAAAGAGAGAGTAATTAAATGTTTTGTATTCTGCTCAGCTGCCTAGGTTTGTCTGTAAGTCTGTTATACTACCCTCCTCAGTCTTTGCTTTCTAGTCAGCTAGACTATATTTGATTTTTCCTCTGACCATCCTGTTTGCTCTTCCTTGTATCTCTTCCATTTCTACTGCATCGTAATCCTCCCTTCCTGCTCCCTTATCCTTTCGAGGACAGCAGATTCTAGGATTTTGTTTGTGAAGATGTGCATACAAGCAAGAGGATGCAGTGCCTTCTCAGGTACGCTCTTAAGTGCTCCATTTTCTAGAGCAGGTCAAATGCTTGTTCCAGCATTTGACTGTAAATATTTTGAGGCAAACTTTTTAAGCCTTCAGTGATTTTCATCCTTGTTTAGTCAGCTGTTTTCACAAACCACATAGTCTTTTTGGGACAATAAAATTGTACATTTTCAGTACTGAACTTAGCCATTTGCTTTAACCATTCTCATCATTGTTGGCAGAACCATACTTTTACCCTCCTTTTCTCTTGATGGAAGTTGGACAGACTGTTTTGGAGAATGGGCAGGTTGCAGAGAACATCAGTTCCATGGCTATTTCTCTGCTTGAGAACCCAAAATGCCAATCCTCACACCTCTGGAGAATGTGTTTCAAAGGGCAAATGAAACACAAGTCTTTACGTAGAAGTGTCTTCACAAGTCTGAAGGAAGAGGAAGGGAAACTCACTCTAAGGGACTGGGGACCAGCACTCGAGCATCACACTACTGTCTTCACTGTGTTTCTAGTCACACCCAAACCATCACTTGGACAGTACTGCCCAGGAGTAATTATCTTCTCCACTCCATTTCCCGTCCCTCCCAGTCCAGGTCTTCTGAGCTCTTTTCTTAAAAGAGTTACACCTCTGACTGCAGCTGAGCTGAGCTTCAGAGCCCATAAACCCAGGCTGTACTTTGACTCAGAGCTGGCAGCTCTGTTTATAATTTCAACTTCCTGCTCCCCAGTTGTGGCACCAGAATCTTGCAGCCAACAGATGGAAAACACCTGATTATAGCAAAGCATACACAAACCTGGGTAACCAACAAGTGTCGTAAGACCCTGTTAATCACAGCTCAGAACCAATCTTTCTTGCTATAACATCTGCTAGTATCTGTGCAAAATGATGAGCAATTAGAGCAGAATGTCTTCGGGCTAAGAGTTTGCAATGTGAGTGTTACACAAACTAATTTATTTTGAAGTCTCAGATGTGACTAATCACAGTATCTAATGAAAATCATATAGCTCTTGGACATAGTTGCGGTTATATTAGGTTTTTGAATACTAATTAAATTGTGCTCCAAGTTAAGGAAGGAAGACGTAAGATTTAGGATGCAGAAGCAACCCAAATTAAGGCAACGTGGATATTTCAAAGGAAGATCTTTCTTTTCTCCATCTGCTGATATTGTTACTGAAGTTTCCAAGATGTTAGACAAACAATGCAGGAGACACAAAGCAATATACAAGCTGGACATTAACAAACCAGATTAAAGTATCACTAAATCAGCAATAACAAACCCAAAGTCATCTAAAGTTCAACTTACTTAAAGGGAAATGGCTCATCTGGTGATGTTTTTCTCATCTGGTTTTGCGGGTACAGGCTGAAGCAGCGATTTGGGGCTAAAATAAAGTTCATTTTAGGGTTCTGTGTATCAAGATAAAAGTGCTGCAGCCACATGCTGTAAAACACTAGTCTGATACAAATTTGCTCATAGGTTCAAATGCATTTAAGCTGTTTTGCCGGGTGAACTTCATGCTAGAAAGCTTCTTGTGGGATCAAATGTCTGATTATGTCTGTTGTCCTGCAACTAATGTAAAAGCAGCATAAACCATCTATCAGGTAATTAATTTAAATCTGTACTATATACCCATTTTTGACCCAGGCTGCTTTTGTACTGGTGACGTTCTGACAGCACACATACCTGCTGTTAACATCTGGGGCCAGATTTCAGAGGTAAGATTTTGCACCTGCCACAGCTGTGGGCAGTTTGGACCAACACGTAGACAATACTGCCCTGCCACTGGGCAGGCTTACCAACAACTCTTTACCATGCTGCCTTTTCTTCCATGCCATCTTCTTGTCTGTTCCAAACATAATATATACAATAAAGTAAGGTGGGGTTTTGAGGTTGATTTTTTTTTGTTTGCTTTTTACAGGTTTGTTTATAATTATAGTCCTTGACTTTTAATGATTACAGAAGGGACCAGTTTCAAAGTTAGCACAGCTTCCTTTAGCTAAGGAAGAAATAGGCATCTTTAAACCTTTTGTAAGCAAGCAGTCCCCTTTGTTCAACTTGGTGAAAGAGGAAGTTGCTGCATGCAGGATAGTGAACTATAAGCACTTTAAGTTTAACATACATCTCCAGATAGAAAAAGTTTTGGGACTATTAAACCCCAAAATAAGTACTCTGCCTTTATGTGCTGATGAATGAATTTCATAATGCTAACATATAACTCATGCCCCAATGCAATACAAACTCACGTGAAGATGTAACATACAGAAGGCAGAGTGTGACTAAGGCTTGAAGTGGAATGCATTTGATGGCTTCTATGGATTAGCAAGGCAGAAACAGGAAAGGATTGTGTCCAAAAAAAAGGTGAAACATTTCCAACCTTCTATTATTCCATCTACCAGAAGAACCACCTATCTTCCTGCCCCCCTCCGCCCAATGGCTTTTTTAAGCAAAAACATACTTTGTGCAGATGCACTTTTCCACCCAAATGCTGATGGACCACTCAAATACAAGCATTACTGGGGTAAATAATTGTTTTCTGAAAGTACTATTAAAATGTTTTCTGATCCAACAGCTATCAGGCCAATAAAGTGCTTTATGCAGAGTGTACATTTTTGGCGAGTTATAGCTTTGTTTTATGACCCAAAAGATGCTCATGGTGTATTTCCTGATTTGATTCTAGCATCCTTCCCAAATGAATATTGTAAATATCATAGTAGAATATCCACAATAATTTTCCTCAAACAAAAGGGGTGAAAAAGTTCTTTTTGTAAATAAAGGACAGTCTGTCCTCATAGGAACCATAAGACAGAACAGCCAGAATAAAGATATCTTGGGTATTCTGTTTTCCTGTTAACTCTTCTTAAAGGCTGTTTAATATAACCCACCCTAAATAACCCAGAATTAAGGCAAGAGATACATGGTGTAGAGATATATCCAAAAGAAGACATTCATTCCAATATAAAATGAATAGCATTGTATTAACGTTTATTTCTAATTACAAGAAACAGAATATCAGTCCCTTATTTGTACAAAAATACCTGAAAGATTACAATTAGGTTCACAAGCCAAAAAGCTATTTACAGTATGAAGCAAAGCATATTGAATAAAGGTTTTGTCTCTTAAGTTAATACCTTTTGCATTCCCTGAAACTTTAAACTTTATTCCATTTTACAGTCACTAAATCTTGCATTGTGACAATATAATTTAGGATAAGCAAGTCTTGCCACTGGAAAGGTGCATTGATTGGTCAAACTGTCAGGTATTTAGTGCAGAAAAGATAAGACAAAACATCTAAACTGAGGCACGTGTTTCTTCAAGATTAATTAACAAATAAAAAGTTTTTTGTACTTTAACACCTATCGTAACATAACTTAACTAGTAACCTCATTACCAAAATGGTTTGGCATTTTCCTTCTCAACATATTCAAGATTGCTACATGAAGTATTTATTTAGAAAATAAAATCACAGGCAAAAAGATAAAAATTCAACAGGCTCCAAAACAACCCTGAGCATCCCCTTTACATTCATGTCATTTAAATACAAAAATAAGAGTCAAATGTCCTTCAGTCCTTGGTATTCTGAGCTGGCAGCCAGCTGAATCTGTTGGAAAACTAAGGTGATATTGACTGTTTTCCAGCAGAAAGAAGACAAAGCAGTGATCTGCTTAAGTAAGATTGTTGCCACTTTGAAGGTGGTCACTTTCTCAAAACAGCTCACTTTAGCTGGGAAAAGTACAAAAGACTAAGTCAACCATCTACATACAAAAATCATGATTCATAGTCAAACTTTTATTCTCAATTTAAATAAGATGCAAGGTTTTTTTTATAAATATGAAACACTGCAAATACTATCCGCCTACTGGGAAAAATGCATGGTTGTCACTAAGCTATGTAAACAGAAAAACTTAAAACTACAGCATAAATGGTCTTATTAAACTGGTAATGTAGTCAATACAAGTATCGTTTTTCTCCTAATAGGGGCCAAATAGAAGCATGCAAAGTGAAGTCAGACTTAAGTTAGCTGAATTTCAAGGTTTTAAAATACATTGTCTAGAAAGCAGGAACACTCATTTCACTATGTACAATTGAAAAAAAAAAAAAGGCTTCTACTGAAAACAAAATCAAGTTTCTTCATTTTTAATATCTAGACATTAAATGGAAAAAAAAAAATACTAAATGTGTTCTGTAAACTAAAATACAGTGTTTCTATACCATTGACATAGTTATAAGCTGATATGGACGACTCAGGCAGGTTATGGTTTGTCTTAAGCTATTCTCAACACTACATGAAGACCTAAAGGTGTAGGATTGGTTTTCCTTCTTTACCCTTTCCGATGGCTAGGATTTCAAACCCAGTGGCAAATATTAGTAAGGATGAACTAGCCTGCGTAAATCATTTACCATCTCAAGAATGCTCCGTTCTGCACTACGCTCTGCAAGTTCCCAGGGTGGAATACTTCTCACTGTGGCACGAAGCACTGGGAAGTTAATCCAGAAACAGTTCCTGCACCAACTGCCTTGCTGAAAGAATGGTATTTGCAATCGGAGGATCAAGGTGGGACTCATCTGACTTTAATACTGATTTATCATCAGAAAGAGTTATTGTGTAAACATTAAATAACTGATTTAAACATTAACAATAAAGTAGTTCTGATGACAAACCAGCACCGGAGCAGGATACACGCTTGTCTGCCAGAGTTACTGGTGTGCTTTAGCGTGCATGACGCAGAGATGACCAGTTACCTCGGCGGATGATATTGGCCGCAGCTAGTTCACAATCAAATGTGCTTCCATTCCCAGTCTGTTCTTTCTCACCATGGAAACTTTCATGGCCCTACAGACAGCAGAAGGGGGTACAGTTCTTTTCATGCCCTATTCCCCAGGAGAGCTTTGTGTCACTGTAGCTTTACTATATAGAAAGAGCTCTTTGAAACAGTCTGAAAATTCAAGGAGCTATAAAGCTAAAAACACTGTTTTTTTTTGTTTTTTTTTTTTTTTTAATTATTATTTTGTCATACTAAGACTACCTGCAGAATAATCTTCTCACAAAAAATGGTGGTTTCAAATACAAGTGTAGTCATTCAGTCCTATTCTATTCAGTAAGTTTCCTCAGGAAAACAGTCAAAAGGCTGTAAAAAACAAACCACCACTCCAATAATAAAAATTTGTGCATAGAATCTAATACAGTCTTTGCATGACTGGATGCCACTAATATGCCATCAACATACTACAGCCATAATGCTACAAGTCAACAGTTTTAAGAGTACGTATATGGTGGTATGTTCTTTTAGAATTGTATCCTCATTGCTTCTTCAAAGACATCTGCAGATCATCGAACCTCAGGTCTCCAGAGAAGTTTTGAGACACACGCGCGCACACACACACACACTTCTTGATTTTCTTCTAGATCCTTTTAGGCTGAAGCATTCCATACATTTTAGGGTGCAGATTAATACCCAACTCCTGCATGAATTTTAAAAGCCACATCAGCTCCTAATATAGGCTGCATACAATATCCGAAACAAAGTAGGAGTGCAAAAAAAGTGATCAATACAAAAAGTAAACACACTAGTCTTAATTGTCAAGATTATTCCAGGGCAAGAGTTCTTTTCAAAGATTTCTCTTCACACTTGTTCCTGTTAAGTGGCCCAGCCAAGATAGTTTCCAGTTTTGTTTCAAATTTACTCATGGTTTTACATACCCTCCCCCCATTTTTGGGATGCTGGGACACTCAGCAGCAATCACTCTTAGGTGTTAGACAAACCAGCAATCTTGGTCTGTTGGCACCTGTCGAATCCATCCCTTTCAGAGTCCCAAGGTGCATAATATTTTTATTTATTTTTACCAACTTACAAATCTGCCAATTCCCCAGTGTCAACGTTCTCTTACAATTACTCTTCTAGCAAATCCAGTCTTCAGTGAGAGTCAGATTTGAGGTCATAAGGCCACTCGGATGCAGTGGTGTTTGAGTTTGCAGGGCAAGACTCCTTTGTTTAGTTGATAGAATTCAACAAGCTGGATTAGATCACTGAATTTGGTGTTCCCATCATCCAGGCTGAAAAATATCTGTCCATCATCTTCACACTGGGGAAAGAAAATGTCCTTTTCAAGTTAGACTGCATATGAAGAGATGCAAGCATGGCAAAACATGAAGAGTACAAGTATGTGATACAAGATCAAAGAACCTACTACCCAGAGATCTTAATGAAACCACGTACAGCACTAGAAATGAACCCAATTTGAACATTAACCCAACTTGAAATGTTTTGTTTATGGAAGCGAAAGCTCGTGGGCACAGTAATTGAAAGTTGTAGAGACAGCATTGGTCTTCATTACATAAAACAAAAATACCCCTAAAATATTTGTTAGCTGTTTGTAAAATTGGCAGGCAAAGCAAGTGAAGAGGGTTTGGACCAATAAAGAGGTCTACATGATCTTAAACTTCTGATGCTCTTTCTGATCAAGATAAAAATCAAATAGGTTCTTGACATCTCAGTATAACATTATTTTAAGCTCAACGTTATTGGATAACCTCCAGAACAAAACTTTTCCAAGTTTCCATAAATTATTCTACGTTTGCCTAAGCGATAGGGAGACAACTGCTGCTATTGTTGCTGTCAATCACAGAGAACAATTTCTATGCATTACTTCTATACCTAAATGACTTACACTAGTTTTCCAGGCAATGTTAATAAAGAATTTTAATCAGCCATTTGACAATTCTAAAGAATACTTGCTAATATACTTGTTAATGGAAACATCCCTGTTAATTACATCAGTAATTAGTAAGAGGTCTCTTCAGATGTTGGCAAAGCTTTATGAATTATTTTTTTTTGTGTGATCAGTATCAAAAATAATCTACTCACCGGCAAAATTTGAAAATGCTTTATTTTTTGATGATGGCACAGCGTAAGTACAAATGCCTTTGGATTGCTTTGGCTGTCCCGGAGAAGAAATAGTCTAGGAGAGAACATTTTTAAGTACACATTGACTACCACAATTCATTTCTTCATAAATAATCAGAACTATTAAGTCATTTTGTGCTATTGCCTAACTCTTCTTTAGTTGCATTAACAGGCAATTTGCTTTCAATTTTTACACCATGGCTATGCAACACTAATAGATGAAGAAACAAGAAGCGAAAGATATATGCAGTAGTTCTTTCCATATG